TCCTGAGTTCAATTCCCAGCAACCACATGGTGGCTCACAACCATCTGTAATGAAGTCTGGTGCCCTCTTCTGGCTTGCAGGAAGAATATTGTATACATAATAAATAAATAATTTAAAAAAAAAAAAAAAGAAAATACCCTAAAGGCTTGCCTGAAACCCAATCTTATGGAGGCTTTTGCTTGAGGTTCCCTCCACTCAGATGACTCTAGCCTATGTCAAGTTGACTTAAAAACTAGCCAGTACAAAGGCCAGGATTAACCTTCCTGACCCTGGAGGCCTGGAACTCTGAAGCTGGTACCAAGTGAGGGTCTCTGACCACTGTAGCTGGGAACGCTGTGTGTTTTTTTTTTTGGGGGGGGGGGGTTAGCCATCTGTGACCCTCTGTAATGCTGCCCCAGCATTGCCTCTGTTACTAATTATTCCCACGGGTATAAAACACACTGGCCTTTCCTTCACCCTGTCTGAACCCATTTCCACCCTTATTTCTGGTTCTCTTTTACTTTTCCCTGGGGGAGATGGGTGTGTGTTGCGGGAGCTCCTTCTGCTCCTTCAGCCAATAGCCGCTGAGATACCAGCCCACTGGGGCGTGGTCTCTCTCCCTTTAAAAAAGCGACCACTTCCCTCTGCTTGCGCTCTGGCTTCTGGCTCCGCTTCCTGCAAGTAGGCTCCATTCCTGATTGCACAGAGGGCTGTCTGGGACGGTGATCTGTAAGTTTTTCCCCCTTAAAATAAATAACCTCTCTAATAATCATAATTCCAAACTGGTGTGGGGTTGTTTGTGACTTATGCCTTCAAGTGTGTGCCTGCAGATTATTGCTGTGACCCAGTCCTCAGACTGCCGAGTTCCGGGACTGAGCTTGTCTGTTAGCTCATCCGGGCTTTATTCTTCTCTCCATTCCCTTTTTAGGACTCTTCACTTATCCAAAAAGAGAAATCAGAGTAGGCCAGGTAGTTCTGAATGTGATGGCCCTTCAGGTAGGTTGAAATTTCCTCTCAAATATTTTTGTTTTACGTTTTATTTATTTGTTTGTTTGTTTATTTGTGATCTGGTCTTACTGTATAGTCCTGGCTAGCCTAGAACTCACTATTAGACCAGGCTGGCCTCGAACTCACAGAGATATGTCTGCCTCTGCCTCCTGAGTGCTGGGATATATTTAGTTACTTTGTTGGTGTCCCGGTGTCTGTGAACTCGGAGGTCTGAGGACAACTTGAAGGAGTCAGTTATCTCCCTTCACCATGTTCCCAGGGATTGAACTCAGATCACCAGATCTGGCAGCAGGTGCCCTTTGCTGCCGAGTCATCTCACCAGCCCCATAATTTCTCCTAACCCTTGAGAACATAGGAGCATCTCCGTGCCTTATGCCAAAATACCTCTGTGACCTGCTCTCAGGGAGCAAGTGATGGGCCCCGCCTCCCTACTTCCTTACCTCCTCTCTTCTTGGCACTCTTTACAAAGCTCTCACAGGGTGCCAAAGGGATGGAAATACATTCTCATGAAGAAGACAGTAGCTTACTTTCTTTTAATATCAGTGGGACTGAGGATTAGGTGACCATCTCCAGTGACTCCAGCGGTTTCTTTTCCTATGCTGTTTCATGTCACTCCCTTTTAAGAAAAGTATTTCATGGGGGAGAGATGGCTCTGTGCTTAAGAGCACTGCTGCTCTTCCAGAGGATCTGGATTCATTTCCCAGCCCCCACATGGTGGCTCACAGCCCTCTAACTACAGTTCCAGGGGATCAGAAGCCCTGTTCTGACTTGCACAGGCACCAGGCACACAGGTGATGCACAGACATACATGCAGACAAAACACCCATACTCATGATGTCATCCTGTCAGAAATTATATACAAAAACTTATGTCTATCATAAGCTTGTGGTAGCCCACACCTTCAGTCCCAGCACTTGGGAGGCAGAGGCAGGCAAATCTCTGTGAGTTCGAGGCCAGCCTGGTCTACAGAATGAGTTCCAGGACAGCTGGAGCTACACAGAGTAAACCCTGTCTCAAAATTGAAAAAAAGAAGAAAAAAAAAAGTCTCTAATTCATTAGTTATATGTAAGTCTATCTATCGTCTCAGGAAACGGTGACCTTCAGGGATGTGGCCGTGGAGCTCTCGGAGGAAGAATGGAAGTGTATGGACCCTGCCCAGAAGGACCTGTACAGAGATGTGACTCTGGAGAGCTTCAGTCACCTGCACTCACTAGGTAAGGCCACACAGGAAAGGGGACACCCCAAAGGAGACAGTGGGAGTTGCCGTGTGCGCCTCTGGCCCGAGGGGTAAAGGAAAGGGACAGAAAGATTCAGCCAGCAGCAGTGAGCACTCCATGTATTTCCCAGGTCAGAGGGGAGGGAGCGCTAGGAAATCCCCCACCTTCACCGCACTTGACCTGTGGCCTGCCAAGCATAATGGGAAAGCCAGGGACAGGCAACCCCAAGGCACAGAGCTGACTTGGCATAGTGGAGGGGAGGGGGAGGGTTAATGGATTTTAATCCCAATTCAAAACCAATGGTCTGAAATTTCTAGGGATTTACTTGTTTTTTGAATTCTAGGACTTGAACCCAGTGCTTTACATATTCGAGACTTTCTGCCACTGAGCTCCAGGCTCAGCCCATCTCTTTTTGACTTTCTCATCCCACTTTCAAATGTCTCACTCAATGTCTGTTCTCCATTTTTCCTAAGAATTGTTTTGGGCTTTGTGAAGCTGCAACTGAGCCATTCCACTGGGCGCCTCCTTCTCCCTGTCCTTTGAACAGTCTTCATTTTTTTTTTTTGTCTCTATTCTTTGGGTCCACACCATAATCCCAGCACTTGGAGGCGGAGGGAGGAAGGTCAGGAATTCTAGGTCCTCTGTGTTAAAGCAAGGAAAAAGACCAAAACCATGATTTTTCCAGTTAAAATAAGCTGTACTTTGGGGTGTACTTGGACTGGCAGCTGGCTGTCTCACCTTCAGTTGGGGTTTGAGAGGGCAGCCCCTGCTGGCCTCTTGAAGTCTCTTGTATAGGGGAGATAAGGTATCCCCCCCCCCCTTCGTGGTGAGAGAGTTGGCAGCTACACATTGTTAGAAAGCACAGTGAAAGGGAGGGATGAGGGTCAGATGAACATCAGGTGAATGGGGCTGCAGGCAGTTTACCTCAGTGCTAGGAAACAGGAACCTTCCCTTCCTTCTGGTTTGGTTTTGTTTTGTTTTTTTAAGACAGGGGTTCTCTGTGTAGCCCTGACTGTCCTGGAATTCACTCTGTAGGCAGGCTGGCCTTGAATTCACAGAGATCTGCCTGCCTCTGCCTCCTAGGTGCTGGGATTAAAGACATGCACCACCATGCCTGGCCAGAATTTGAAATTTAATGTTCATTTGTTATTGTTGTTGTTATTGATTTCATGTACATTGGTGTTTGGTGTTTTGCCTGCATGTATGTCTGTGTCCTTTGGAACTGGAGTTACAGACAGCTGTGAACTGCCATAAGGGTTCTGGGAATCGGATTGAACCTGGTCCTCTGGAAGAACAACCAGTACACTTAGCACTGAACCATCTCTCCAGACCCCAGAGTTGAAGTTTAAACAGTCTGATCATGTCTCATTTCTCTTCCCATCAACAGGACTTGTCTTTTCTAAGCCTGAGGTCATCCTCTTATTGGAGCAGGGGAAAGAGCCATGGATGGTTACAGATTATATGACAAGACCTTGGCAGCCAGGTGAGTAAGACCTGACCTGGCTGGAGAGGTCATGGGACTAACGGTACCATGACTGAGAGCTGTAGCCGGGGTGATTGTCAGGAAGCCCTGAAAGCCTGCTGTGGAATAAAGGCCTGAGTTAGGAAGCAGAGCAGGACTGTCAGCATTGGCCTGGCTGTGCACATCAAGTACAAATGTAAAGACATTCTGTATTAGATAGTATTTCCTCCACTGCCTCTGCCTTCTGTGGCTGATAAATCAGGCAGTTATAATTGGGGAAAATATTTAATGTATATGTATTTTTCTTGTTTTTATTTTTGGTTTTTGGGTTGTTTTTTGGTTTTTCAAGACAGGGTTTCCCTGTGTTAACAGTCCTAGCTGTCCTGGAACTAGCTCTTGTAGACCAGGCTGGCCTCAAACTCACAGGGATTCACTTGCCTCTGCCTCCCGAGTGTTAGGATTAAAGGTGTGCACCACCACCGCCCGGCTTATTTTTATGTATATGGGTGTTTTGCCTACATATATGTTTGAAGCATATGCATGCCTGGTTCCCAAAGGAGGCTATAAAAGAGCATCTGATCCCTTGGAACTGGAGTTACAGAGTTCTGGGAATTGAACCCATGTCCTTTGGAAAGGCAGCCAGCCAGTGCTCTTAACCAGTGAGCCACCCCCTTCCTCTTTTTTTTCTCCAAGACAGGGTGTCTCTGTGTAGCCCTGGCTGTCCTGGAACTAGCTCTATAGACCAGGCTGACCTCGAACTCACAGAGATCCACCTGCCTCTGCCTCCCGAGTGCTAGGACTAAAGGCGTGCGCTAGCACTCTCTCTGTGAGTTGCAGATTCTGTCTGCCTTCCGCACTTTGGTTTTCCTCAGGCAGAGCTCCAGCTGCTTGCCCTCTAGCAGCCGGGTTCCTGCCCTGCCCCTGCAGCCTGTCTGAGGTGATGTAGGCAGAAGCTGCCCTGCTCCTCCATAAATCCGCTGCTTTCCGTACTTTTTCTCTGGTTTCCAGGCGTGGCATCAAGGGCTGATGGAGTTCCACAGCAAGGACTTTTGGAAATAGAGTCCTTTAAAAGGGAGGAAGTGAAGAGCTTTCAGAGCTGTGGCCTTGAGGACTCCCATGGCACAGAGGACTGGGCATGCAGAGACCAGTTTGAGAGACAGCCATGGAGCCAGGAGTGCCATCTCAAGCCAGTGGCAATCCCCTATGGAAGCATGCCTGCTTTCAAGCCACGCACATCCGCCGCCCTGTTACACCAGAGCCGCAGGACTCAGGAGAAACCGCTCCAACTCAGTGACTGCAGGAAAGCCTTTAGCCAGGCCCCACCCTGTATGCAGCACCAGAAGACTCCTGCTGCTGAAAAGCCTTTTGAGTGTAAGGAGTGTGGGAAAGCTTTTGGGCGAGCCTCACACCTCGTTGAGCATCAGAGAATCCATACGGGTGAGAAACCCTATGTTTGTAAAGACTGCGGGAAGGCTTTTTTTCGTAGTTCCCAGCTGACTGTGCACTGGAGAACTCACACAGGGGCTAGGCCCTATCAGTGTAGAGACTGTGGAAAGACCTTCAGACAGCACTCGCAGCTCACCGTGCACCAGCGGATCCACACCGGGGAGAAGCCCTACAAATGTAAGGACTGTGGGAAGGGTTTTATCTATAGCTCAGAAGTCACTCGCCATCAAAGAATTCATTCTGGGGAAAAACCTTATGAATGTAAGGAATGTGGGAAAGCCTTCAGACAGCACGCACAGCTCAAGCGACATCAGACCGTTCATACTGTTGACAGACCCTTTGAATGTAAGGACTGCGGAAAGGCCTTTAGTCGGGGTTCATACCTCATTCAACACCAGAGAATTCACACGGGGGACAAGCCTTATGAATGTAAGGAGTGTGGGAAAGCCTTCATTCGTGTTTCCCAGCTGACTCACCACCAGAGGATCCACACCTATGAGAAACCCTACATATGCAGGGAGTGTGGTATGGCTTTCATTCGCAGCTCACAGCTGACCGAACATCAGCGAATTCACCCTGGTATCAAACCTTATGAATGTAGAGAATGTGGGCAGGCCTTTATCCATGGCTCACAGCTCATCAACCACTACCAACAAGTTCACACTGACTAGAGGGTTCTGGGATATTTGTGCACTCTGCGAAGATGTATCCCTGTGATTGTTGCAATAAAAAGCTGAATGACCAATAGCTACACAGGGGGTACGGGTGGGATTTCCGGGGAGAGAAAGGGAGAAGAGGAGGAAGCTAGACACACAGGAGACACCAGGAGACAGAGAGGACGCAGAAGGTGCAAAATGGAAGAGAGGTAATGCCATGTGATAGAACGTAGATTAATATACATGGGTTAGTTTAACTTATAAGAGCTATTTAGGAACAAGCCTAAACTAAAGGCCGATCTTTCATAATTAATAAGAAGTCTCTGTATCACCTGGGAGCAGGCTGGTAGGACAGAAAAGGACTGGCTACCCTAAAGTCCTAAACATCAGTTGCAGAGACAAGCCTTTTCGCAAAGTTCACATCTGGCCAGAGGTGTATCGCCCCCAGTGTAACTAATGTCAGAAAAAGTTCATTAATCTCTTGTGTTAAAGGGATCAGAAAACTCAGTGCCAGCAGACAGACCCAGTGAGTATGGGAATTCACTTCGCCTCGCTCGCTGGTTACTAAGCGTCAGCAAACCTGTGCTAAAAATAGCTTCATATAAACATAGAAAAGTCTCTTATTGCCTACCAAAATATGTTCACTTTCTGAGAACCCCAAATAGCCTGTGATCCTGATTAGATTATTGATTTGGTGTGCTGACTGGTGACTGTGCCTTTTGGTTGGTGTGGCATAGACCTTGACATTGCTCCCACTGATTAGTGAATTTTGCAATTTTGTCTCTCCTTTTTACTTCCTTGTTTTTTATTTTGTTTTTTGAGACAGGGTCTCATTTAACCTTGGCTGGTATCAAAATTATGTAGCTGAAGATGACTTTGAACTCCTGATCCTTCTCTCTGCACCTCCCAAATTCTGGGATTACAGGCTTGCACTGCCATGCCAGCTAACTTGGGGTTTGGTTTTTTGTTTGTTTGGTTTTGTTGTTTTGTTTTTTGGAGTTTTGTTGTTTGTTTGCTTGTTTAGTGTTTTTTTTGGGGGGGGGGGGTTGAGACCGGGTTTCTCTGTGTAGCCCTGGTGGTCCTGGAACTCATTCTTTTTTTTTTTTTTTTTTTTTTTTTTTTGGTTTTTTCGAGACAGGGTTTCTCTGTGGTTTTGGAGCCTGTCCTGGAACTAGCTCTTGTAGACCAGGCTGGTCTCGAACTCACAGAGATCCGCCTGCCTCTGCCTCCCGAGTGCTGGGATTAAAGGCGTGCGCCACCACCGCCCGGCCCTGGAACTCATTCTGTAGACCAGGCTGTCCTCCAACTCACAGAGATTTGCCTGCCAAATGCTGGGATTAAAGGTGTGCACCACCGCTGTTCAGCTGATTGATTGTTTTGTTTTTAAGAAAGTGTCACTTACCTTGTAGAAGGCCTCCATGTTGTAATTTAACATGCATCTCTCTCTGGCATTTCCTACAAATGGGAGCTAAGATTTTAGAGATTTAGCCAGATGTGGTGGCACATGCCTTTAATCCCAGCACTCTGAAGGCAGAGGAAATTGGTCCAGGCCAGCCAAGGCTGTGAAGTGAAACCCTGTCTCCAAAAGGTAGTGGGCACTGAAGCGATGGCCAGTCATTAAGAGCGTCCATTGCTCTTGCAGAAAACCTGAGTTTGGTTCCCAGCATTGTGGCTCACAACCATCCATAACTCCAGTTACAGGAACCCAACACCCCCTTCTGGCTCTGCAGGCACCAGCATGTACTTGGTGCTCATCAATTTATGTAGACAGAATATTTTTTTAGTTTTTTGTTTGTTTGTGTGTTTAAAATAGTTTTTTGGGGGGTTTTCATTTCAGGATAGGATTTCTCTGTGTAGCTTTGGAGCCTGTCCTGGAACTCAGTCTGTAGTCCCCCTGCCTTTACCCTCCTAGTGCTGGGATTAAAGGTGTGTACCACCGCTGCTCAACCATCTGCCATCTTCATGATGCTTTAACATGGTCACAATCCTGGAGCCCACCAAAGGGCTATTTAATTAAATAATAAATTTTTTTTTTTTTTTTTTTTTTTAAGATTTATTTATTTATTAAGCATACAATGTACTGCTGGTAAGGAAGACACCAGGTCTCATTACAGATGGTTGTGAGCCACCATGTGGTTGCTGGGAATTGAACTCGGGACCTCTGGAAGAGCAGTCAGTGCTCTTACCCTCTGAGCCACCTCTCCAGCCCAAATAATAAATTTTTAATCATCAACCATAAGTGATTCCATCATCCCCATCCCTAGAAGCCCAAGGATATTGGGAAGGATGGATGTCCAACCTTTTTTTTTCATGCCTTGGTCTTTCTGGTGACCAGCCCCATCTATCTATCTACCTGGGGACCTCCGACATCCCATTAGCAAATAAAGAACACTGTCAATCACTCTGATGGTTCAAAGAATTTTAGGAACTGGAGGCGGGACCAAAGATGTTTTTTCTGTTACTCATCTGGTACCTTCATTCAGTCAGGAATATTCATGGGTTTTGTTTGAGGCAGGGTCTCACTATATAGCCTTGGCTATCCTGGAACTCAAGATGCTCAGCCTCCCAAAAGATTTATGAGGTAGCTTAAAGTGCCATAGGGATGCATTGATTTAAAACCGGCAATTGTAAGCATGGTTTGGTGGGACCTGCCACTAACTGCAGTGGTCAGAAGGTTGAGACAAGAGGATCACAGGTTCCAGACAGGCCAGAACAGTGTGGCAAGGCCCTGTCTGGGGACAAAAGAGGTGTGGGTGGGGTGAGGCTAAGAAAGTAAATCAGAGAATCAATACATGGAGAGGTTCAGGTTGAAGAGCAGCTGACTTGTTTCAGCCACGAGATGGCAGAAGAGTGCTACCACACAGGTTTTGGCAGACTTCCACCACAGCGGCAATTGGTTCGCTTGCTTGCTCTTTTATTTTGTTTTGTTTTTCTGTGTTTTTTGAGACAGGATCTCACTATGTATCTCTGGCTTATTTTATTTTTTTTTTTACTTTTAACTTTAGGTGCACAGATGTTTTTTCTGCATGCCTATTGTGATGAGTTAAGAGAGGCCATGGGAGAAAGGAAAAGCCTCACGTTTAGGACGTTTTGCATGGTCAAAGGAAGGAGACACTGTCCTGTGTAGTCCAGGGTTGCCTCCAGCATGAAATCCTGTCTCAGCCTGAACCCAGGGCTTTGCACAAGCTAGGCTTTGCACGATCTAGCTAAGCTAGATGGACCCCTGAGCCAAAACTCAAGCCCCTAATTGGTGGATTCTAGATAAACATTCCCTTGCCACTCAGCACTTTTATTTTTCCATTCTGTGTATGCATGCATGGGTGGATACATGTGTGTGTGAGTGGGTGCGTATTTCTGTGTGTGTGTGTGTGTGTAGCTGCATACTTATATGTGGGGGTATGTGCGTATAGGTGCATATTTGTGTGTGTGGGTATGTGTGTGTGGGTATGTGTGTGTGGGTAAGGTGCATATTTGTGGGGAAGGGGTATGTGCATGTGATGTGCATATGGTATTGTGTATGTGTGATTGCACACAGATGAAACTGAACTAAATGCAAAAATATTTGACTTGGGCTTCAGTTTTTTCAGTGTGTGCTAGGGTGTAGACTGGGCAGAGCGCTTGCTCAGTAAGAGCTAGGTGCTAGAATTGGTCCTGCACAAGAAACAGATTTCCCACTAGCAAGAGTGGCTTCTGTTTGATTTTTCTCAAAATCACATTACTAGTTCCTTCTTTCTTCTCTCCTCCTGTGCTTTCCTTTTCGACGTCTCAGGTAGCTCACATCAGCCTGGAACTTTCTGTAGCCAAGGCTCTGGTGTATATGATGGGAGGGCCCACGTTTGCCACGGGAGGACAACCTTGTAGACTTCGGCAGCGAGCAGCTACCCACAGAGCTGGCTGGTGAGCCCTTCTTTTTTCTTTTTTTTTTTAAATATTTATTTATTTATTTATTTATTATGTATACAATATTCTTTCTGCATGTATACCTGAAGGCCAGAAGAGGTCACCAGACCTCATTTCAGATGGTTGTGAGCCACCATGTGGTTGCTGGGAATTGAACTCAGGACCTTTGGAAGAGCAGGCAATGCTCTTAACCGCTGAGCCATCTCTCCAGCCCTCCCCCCTTCTTTTTTCTTAACTGTGCGAGCTGAATTATGCTCTGAGCTCACTTCATTGCCGCAATAAACCTCTGACTATAGAGACAAAAGGGTCAGAAATCTAAAGCGAAATGACCTATTCTCTAGTAGTTAGACCTGGTGACTTATGGTCTTGTTCTACAATTAAGCCTAACTCCCAATGGCCCCTGACACCTCACCCAAATGGCCCGTCTTAGAGAATCACAGAACAGTGGGTTGCCCTCTAGACCTCACTCCAGGCTGAATCCCATACGAAAGGTCTAAGGAGCCTAACTTCAGCTACAGAGGAACCACACTTCCCTCCCCTCTGTCCCTGTTTGCTCTTGCGTTTCTATCGAGTCTCTATTCTTTTTTTTAGATTTATTATGTATACAACATTCTGCCTCCATGTATGCCCGCACACCAGAGTAGGGCGCCAGATCTGTGGAACTCTCTATGTAGACCAGGTTGGCCTCGAACTCACAGAGATCCGCCTGCCTCTGCTCCCCCACTACCACCACCCCAAGTGCTGGTATTAGTGTGTGCCACCACCACCACCCAGCTATTCTTTATCATTTATTTTTATGTGTATTGGTGTTTTGCCTACATGTATGTCTCTGTATGGGTGTCAGATCCCCTGGAACTGCAGCTGCAGACAGCTGTGAGCAGCAGTGTGGGGGCTGGGAACGGAAACGGGGTCCTCTGGAAGAGCAGCCAGTGCTCCTAACCACTGAACCATCTCTCCCACCCCAATGTGTGTGACAGAGTCTCTCTATGCAGCCCTGGAACTCACGGTGTAGACCACTCTGCTTTAAAATGGCAGAAATCCACTTTCCTCTGTCTCCTGAGCGCTGGAATTAAAGGACTGAGTAACCACTCCTGGCTTCTTTCTTTTTTTTTTTTAATTTCTTAAATCAATTCTGGCCTTGTAAATAATTTTATCTCGGTGTCTCCCTATTTCCTCAGGACACTGAGGAAGATTCTGACTTGGCTCTCAGGAAACAAATTACGGAAATTAAGGCTCTGAGGTACGAGGTGCAATCACTCACTGTGTAGACAGAATGAGGAGTTAATTTACCTCGGCCCTCACTGGCTCCCAGATACCAGCAGGGTAGCCCTAGATGGAGGCCGGGGAATGGTGCGTACCCTGAGACACCTCTGCCGAAAAGTAATCTGTTGCAATCACCCCAAACACGGAAACAGATGATGACTGGTAGGTTGGAACACCTTTCCTCTTAGCTGATTGGACAAATGTGATTTGGCCACGCCCCCAACTGTCAAGCCCGGCGCAGCAGGCGTGTCTTGGGATTCCCTCAGGGGTAAAGTGCTGCACGTCCTTGGGCTGAGAGAGGTGACTTGAGCTGCAGAGGACACGAAATGAGGGCCTTGCGGGTGAGGTCCCCACGGGCTGTGTCGGGGTGGTGGGGAACCCCACAACCCAGATGCCTACCTTAAACATGACAGGATCTGGAGTCTGGGAACACATGCACCCCTCGGAGTCTGGGACTCCCTCCCTGACATCCTGAGTTTCCAAGACTGTACCTGTAGCCTGGTCCTGAATCCTGGGTTTAAACCTCCCTTTACCCGAGTGCCCTCTTAGCATCCCTCGGAGCCCTAATACCAGCTCCGGTGTGGGTGTCTTGGGCAGCCTGGAAATTCTCGGGGACCCTCTTGGCAGCCTGCTGACCTCCACACCGTACTCTCTCAGCATGGATTCCCTACCCTTACCCCCACCTCACCCCCTTTTTTTTTGGACACTGGGCATCATATAGCCCACGCTGGCTTCTAACTTTATATGCAGCTGAATAAGTCTTTGAACTCCTAATCCTTTCGCCTCCCCCTCCCAAGTGTGATAACATGTGTAACACCTTAACCTCATTTTAAAAATGCTTACTGAGTAGCCCAGGCTGGCCCCAAACTCCAGATCTTCCTGCTTGAATGCTGGGATTACAGGCCTCCACTGATTCCTTCCCCACTCTCACTGGTGACTGGTCTCTTGCCTCTAAGACAGACATTCACCAGACATAGTTCCTACACCCCTTCTCGCAGGACCACGTGAAGGCAGCTCTCCAGGTGCCACCAACCCACCCATCTCCTATCCCTCCAGGTCTCCCAGGCTTTGATTCGTCCTTTTAGCTCATCTGCCCGGAGCCACTTAGAAAATCGTGTGGCAGAGAAGCAGAAACTCTTCCAGGTAGGAGGACAATGTCCCTGGACCCACGGTGGGGCGGAGGTGCCATGCACACGGAGGTCTGTGCAGGACCCAGCACCCTGTTGTCACCCTCACCCCTCACACAGGCCAACAACGACCTCCCAGTACACCTGAAGGGCGGAGCAATGGACAACATCCTATATAGACTGACTATGACCCTGACGCTGGGGGGTGAGTGCAGGGCCCACCCGGTTGCCTGGGTTGTGGACTAGCCAGTCAGTCAGTGCTTCAGGAGGGGAGGAGTCCTGAGCTGACAAGGTCTGAGGACAGGAACAAGGGGTCACCTATTGCCCTAAGGGATCAGAGCTAGTGATGGGTCTGCCCAACCCACCCCCAAATAAGCTCCTGGCCTGGTTCATATCAAACTGGGTGGGGGCGTGGGGGCGGGAGTTCCCCGTGAGGAATCCAGTTTGGGAGGAAGTTCAGAGCTGAACTGAGCTGTGATCCATGAGGGGCTGGGGGAACCTAGGGGCTTTTACAGGTCCTGTGAGAGGGTGCATGGGCATTAGGATCTCATTTGATATCCATCCCTTCCCTAGGCACTGCCTACTGCTTATACTGCCTGGGCTGGGCCTCCTTCCCCCACAAGAAGTGACACCAAGAATGTTGGCGGACTTGCACAAACATCAATAAACATGCTAGCCTCTTGAGAACCCCACTCGACTCTGGCCTGTGTGTCTGTGTTCCAACCCACCTTCCCATCATCCAGGGATGTCTACCCAGTAGAAAGCAACTCACCCCAGCCCTTGGCCCCTCATGCTGGACCAGTGCGGTACTTAAGACAACCTGCTTTAGATGCCTACTGGGGGACCAAGGGTCTGGAGTGGTGATGCTGAGTGGAACAGGGGTATTATTATCCAGCATAGCATCCCCTCCCCTTGTAGAGGCCCAAAGGGTAGGGAAGGTGCTGGTCTAGTTCGGAGACCCTGGCTCAGAAAGGAAGAGAGATGGCATGATCTATGAGCCAAGGGAGGATAGAGACTGGCACCAAGACTGAAGCCCGATGGTGATGTGGCTGAGTGGAAGAGCATAGAATCTGCCCGGCGTGTGTGTGTGTGGTAGAGTACTTGCCTAGCATGTGCAAAGCCCCGGGTGCCATCCTTTGCACCAATCAGGCAATCAATTAAAAGACAGAAGTTCAGAGAGCTACAAACATGGCCCCAAGGGACAAAAAACAGAGGGTCCCCAGGATCTGTTAACAGCTTGGAAGCTTTGGGAGCTGCAAGTGCATCACTGGGGATTCTAAGTCCCATCCTGAGCCTGCATGGGATCCAGGCGAAGCCTCAGCAAAGCCAGGCTGTCTCAACTTAGAACAGTATGAGAAAAAAAAAAAGATGTGGAGTAGGAAATACATGATCCAGCCCCAAAGACAGGCACCCCAACCACTCTTGGAGCTGGAGAGACGATACTTCGCTGCTATTGAAGAGGATCTGGGTTCAGTTCCCAGCACCCCCGGTGGCCCACAACCCTTTGTACCTCTGTTCCAGGGGATAGCAGATACATGGTGCATGTATGGGCATGCTCATTAAACACACACATTATATAGTAACTAAACGAATACTCAAGCCCCCATAAGATTGTTCCTCCTCCCTGTACTCTGAGCCACCTCTCAACACTCAGGAGGCAGAGCCCATGGGAAGCAGCAGGTGGAGAGAGTTTATTTCCTCCTGGGCCTGACAGCTGTGGAAACAGTGCAGGCATTGGCACTAGGGTGTGTGGGCCTGCCATGGCCTGGAGTTTATTTGGCTGCCTGGGAGGTGACTGAACGAGTGTGTAATAGGGTGTGTGGGGACAGGAGTGATCCTCCCAGAACTGAGACAGGGCCCTTGGGACATGGAAGCAACCGGAGTGCTAGGCTTGGCCCACAGACAGGATGAAGGTGATGAAGGGAACGGAGGGTGTGGGATGGGTGTGCTGGGGCGGGGTGACCCTTCAGCAGAGAAAGCAAACTAGCTTGTCTTCGAGCCAGGGGTAACTCAGGGTATGGCAAGCTGGGGCATGTTGGGCTCTGGCTGCTGACTGGGAAGTGGGTACCAGACAGGGAGAAGAAAGCCCTGTGGGTAGCGGGACATGACCATAAAAATGTGGCTGCAGACAGGATCAGGATTCAATGTGGCTCCAGAGTGAGCTGTGAGGGGCAGGTCGGTGGTCCCAGTTCAGGAATACATAGTCAGCTGCAGCCACTGGAAGGGGAAGGCACAGATGAGCAGAGCGCCCCGAGAACCAGACACCTCACCCAGGGCCTGCTGGGCAATAGGATGGGAGGGGCTGGAATCGGAGCTGAGCACCCACCCACAAGAGAGGCAGCCTTACCTCCTGGATGTTCACTTGGATCTGCCCAGTGCCATTTTTGTCAAGAGATTTGAAAGCACCTAGAGGTAAAAGGAAGAGAGAACTTGGGTGCTTTGGATGATATTATACTAACACATGGCCAGTTATTCTCTGATGTGGGAGGTGATGTATCCTGGGAATATGCTCTATTGCCATTGGTTGATAAAGAAGCTGCTTTTGGCCAATGGCTTAACTGAGTAAAGCCAGGCTGAAAGAGATATATAGAGAGAGTAGGCGGAATCAGGGAGACGCCATGTAGCCCCAGACACCGGGGACGGAACTTTACCCGGTTAAGCCACAGCCATGTGGCGAAAGACAGATTAATGGAGATGGGTTAGTTTAGGATGTAAGAGTTAGCCAGAAATACGCTTAAGCTATTGGCCAAACAGTATTGCAATTGCTACAAATTTCTATGTGATGATTTCGGGAGTCAAGCGACCGGGAACGAGCGAGCAGCTTCCACCAACAATTCTCTTTTTGTTAACTATTGTTTTTGTTTTGTTTTCAGACAAGGTCTCACTGAGTATCCCTTGACTGACCTCAAAGTTGTGGAGATCCGCCTGCTTCTGCCTCTAGAGTGCTGAGACTAAGCGTGTGCCACCTGACTGGCTACAGGATAATGATGTTGTTGTTATGATGATTAGTTAACCCCCATTCATCCTTTTTTTCCTGTGCCAAGCAAGGACTGTGCAGAGAGCTTCAAAGGCACGTGTGAGCCGGGCGGTGGTGGCGCACGCCTGTAATCCCAGCACTCGGGAGGCAGAGGCAGGCGGATCTCTGTGAGTTCGAGACCAGCCTGGTCTACAGAGCTAGTTCCAGGACAGGCTCCAAAACCACAGAGAAACCTTGTCTCGGAAAAAAAAAAAAAAAAAAAAAAAAAGAAAACAAAGGCACGTGTGGTGGTGCACACCGTAAACCCAGCACTCGGTTGGCTGTGCAAAAGGAAGGTCTTGAGTTCATATTACTCTTAGCTACATATGGGGGTTCAAGGTCAGCCAGGCTACGTGAGACTGTATCTTAATAATAATAACATTAAATCAATAAAATATCTAATTATGTGACATGTGGCATTTTTAAACGAGGCAAAGAATTAGGGTATTGCCGGGCGGTGGTGGCGCACGCCTTTAATCCCAGCACTCGGGAGGCAGAGGCAGGCGGATCTCTGTGAGTTCGAGACCAGCCTGGTCTACAGAGCTAGTTCCAGAACAGGCTCCAAAGCCACAGAGAAACCCTGTCTCGAAAAACCAAAAAAAAAAAAAAAAAAAAAAAAAAAAAAAAAGAATTAGGGTATTATAACACAATACGGTAGAGTACTTGCCTATGATGCCTGAGGCTCGGGTTCAGGCCCTGACCCTCAATAAACAGACAGGTGAAGTGGCATGCTGGAACTCACCCAGGAAGACAGGAAAGAAACGGACTAGAACCCAGGCCCGTCCTCCCAGTACCTCTGCCACATGCTCTCCGGGTGCAACCCAAACAGGCTCCTAAAAGGAGGCAACTTGGCAATAACTCCATGCTTCCTGTCCACAGACAACCAAGCCAGAGTTGCCCACACTAACCAAGACTGAGTCACTACCTTCAGGTGGCCACATAGTGTAGTGGATGCCACTGGTGCTCCTGCTACCATAGGCCAGGGGACCAGAGGACATTTCTCCTGAAATTCTTATCGTCCTGCCTCTACCGCCCGAGCACGGGGATGACAGGTGTGGGCCATCATTGTCAGGTTAACAGGAGCATGGCGTTAGCATTGACGGATGCATCTATGCATGGTATCCATGCATATAACTATGCTATGTCCTGACCCTTTTAACTAGTAACTAATAAACTTTGGTGTGAGACAGGTCTCACAAAACCAGGATGGCCTCAAATTTGCCAAGTAGTCATGGATGACCTTGAACTCCTGACCATCCTCTTGCCTCAGCTTCCCAAGTGTTGGGATCACAGTGTACCATAACACCCAACTCCACACTACACCCAACCACACACTACACCCAACTCCACACTATACACAACTCCACCACTACACCCAACCCTATACTACAACCAACCGCACACTACACCCAACCCCACACTATACCCAACTACACACTACAACCAATTCCACACTGCACCCAATTCTACACTACACACAACCCCACACTACACCCAACCCCACACTATACCCAACTCCACACTACAACCAATTCCACACTGCGCCCAACTCCACACTACACACAACCCCACACTACAAAGGAGCTTTGTAATCCAAAACTGACCCAGCCCCTCCCTTGCCTAGAATCTGCCCTGGCTCTACAATGCCCACAACAGTCTGAGCACCCCCGAGCTTGGCATTTACAGCACTAAAAAGTGCCCATGCCCATCACCCCCGTTTCTTTGCATAGCTCAGTTTGGTCCTCAAACAAGCACAAAGTTGAATCCTGGCTTCCGACTTCCTGGCTGAGTAGCTGAGCGCAAGCCAGGAAACTGAACCTTAGGATTCTCCACCATAACAAGGGGGCAGCAGCCCCACTCCTGAGTCTTAGGACTCTTACATCAAATCCATATAAATGTTCTCACTGCAGGTGTGAAGACCAGAAGTTCAGGGTCACCCTTGGCTACAAATTAAGTCTGAAATCAACTTGAGTTACATGAAAAACGTGTCTCAAGAAAAAAAACAAAAAACAAAACAAAACAAAAAAACAAGACAGGGATGGAACAATGGCTCAGAGGTTAAGAGCACTGGCTGCTCTTTCAGAGGACCTGGATCAATTCCCAGCACCCGTATGGCAGCTCAAAACCATCTGTAACTCCAGTTCCAGGGGATCTGACATCAGGCACAGACAGACATACTATACAGGCAAAACACTCATATAAGTAAAATTTAAAAAACACAAAAAACAGGTCAGAAAGAAAGAAAGCCAATCTAGGTATGGTAGTATATGCAGAGGTAGGTAGCTCTCTGTAGTCTTGAGGCCAGCCTGGTCTACATAGCAAGCTGTAGGACAACCAGGGCTATATAGCTAGACCCTGTCTCAAGAGTGAATGAGAGAGAGAGAGAGAGAGAAGAGAGAGAAAGAGAAGAGAGTTGTCCTCTGACCTCTACATGTAAAGACAAACTTAATTAGTAAACAACCTTAAAACAGCGAGAGTCCCATCACACTGCCCCTTAGCTTGCAACACCCTTCCTTGCTCCCTCTAGCTCCCTCTTCCTCATGCCTCGTGTCTTAGTTCACATTTGCCTTCCTCCAGGCAGCCCTTCCTGATTCCCTGGATTGAGTCAGATGCTTGCTTCCCCTCACAGCCCAGGTGGCTGTCACTAGCCTATCCCATCCCCGGTGACCCCGGCATCATTCATGTTAAAGTCAGGCTTAGAGGAGACCATGGCCAGTGAAGGTTAGCAAATCCCCAGCCTCAGAGAGATCCAGGGCGAGCGTCACTCACGGAACATGGCGTCCAGCCTGACCAGGCAGCTGATGAAGTTGTCGAAGTCCATGCTGCCACTCTCATCTGAGTAGCGCCGGATGATCATACTGTAGAGATGCTCATTCAGGTGGAAGCCTGCAAGGGCTCAGTCTCAGGGCAGGGCAGTGCGGCCTTGCTCACCCCACCTCTAGCCCAACAGAGCCCTGCCTGCCCACCTGCGGCCTCAAAGGCCCCTGGGAGTTCACTGGGGCTGATGGTCCCCGATCGGTCAACATCAAAGCGTTTGTAAATAGCCTGCAGGAGAGAGAAGACACAGTCCAACCGAGCATCGTGGAGTATGGGTCACCGGTGTCCCCGTGGCCCGGGGATCTGGATGCTGGGAGTTCCAGAGGCTACCACACACCTGCCACTTTTTAATGTTGTTCCAGAGGTACTTGAATTCCTCAAAGCCCAGCTTGCCTGTAGTATCACTCTAACAGGAGCTTGTTAAGAACAGCATGACAAAATACAATGGAGTGTGTGGATGAGTGTGTGTGGTATTGCCATAAGGAAAACTATTGTTTTGAAGGCTACCTTTTAAAAAATTAATAGAAATGAAATAAGCTTAGACGGCTGGAGAGATGGCAGTTAGGAGCACTCACAGTTCTTGCAGAGGACTTGGGTTTGGTTCCCAGAACCTAAATCCTGCAGCTCACAACCACCTGTAATTCCAGCTTTAGGGAACACAATGCCCTCAGACCTCTGAGGACACTTGCATGCACACATACACCCAAAGACACAGGCATACGCATAAATAAAACTAAAATAAGTCAAGTCAGGCATGGTAGTACATGTCTATAGTTCTAGCACTTGAGAGGCAAAAGGAAGATCAGGAGTTCAAGACCAACTTTGGTGGCATACTGACTTCAAGGCCAGTCTAGACTACTGGAGACCCATCTCAAGAATCCAAAACCACAGTACCATAAAATAAAATAAGCTGGGTGCGCTAAGGCTGCTGCAGACCTCAGTAGTGTAGTGCTCAACCACCCAGGTCAAGGTCAGTCTGGGCTATTAGCAAGACACCATATATAGATAAATAAATCAGCAAGCTGGGATATAGCTTGAATAAATAGAGTCTCCATCTACCACAGATGAGGCCTGGATTAATCCTAAATCTCCCTCTCCCTCTCTCTGTCTCTGTCTCTCTCTCTCTCTCTCTCACACACACACAATGTGATAATTAAACCCAGATACTGCATTGAATGTACTGGGTACATGACAATAATCCTGGGAATCTAGGCTAACAGACAACTCCCATTCAACACTATAGTCATGTTATACAGGGCATGGTTTGTTATTTGTTTGTTTGTTTAACAAAAGGGTACAGTTTGGGCTGGGTATGGTGCCGTACACCTTTAATTCCAACACTCAGAAGGCAAAGGCAAGCAGATCCATCTAAGTCCGAGGCCAGCCTGATCTATATAGTAAATTCCAGGCCAGCCAGGTTTACACAGTGAAACCCTATAATAAAATCAATAAGTAAATAAATAAATATTAAAATTTGCTTTTTTAACACAGGGTCTTATGCTGAAGTTCCAGCACTCAGGAAGCAGAGCAGAAGCACCGAGAGTTTCACAGTAGCATGGGGTATATAGGAAGACCCTATTTCAAAACCAAGATTGGGCTGGGAATGGCGGGGCAGCCCTTCAACCCCAGCACACAGGGGCAGAGCAGGCAGATCTTAGAGCTTTGAAAGCCATCTGGTCTACATGGAAAGTTCCAGCCCAGCCAGAGCCTAGGGAGAGGGTAAGAAAATGAGCAGTGGGTAAAGTAGGCTAGGTGTGCACGCACTTGTGCCTGGCTGGTGCCTGGCCATGTGCAAATGATCATGTGTGTTCCATATCACACACATGGAGCTATGTATGCTCTTATGTAGAGAAATATGTGTGCATATGTACCATGCATATAGTTGTGGCCCTTGGTATATGTCTAAATACAGTTGTTAGAGTTTAAATTCTTGGGGCTGGAGAGATGGCTCAGTGATTACGAGCACTGGTTGCTCCATCAGGAAGGGCCAACATGTTCCCAGCACCACCATGGCAACTGTCTAACTCCAGTTCTGAGAGGTCTGGTATCCTCTTCTGTCCTCTCCACATAACACACGTACTACATTCAGGCAAAACACTCATACATGTAAAAATAAATACATCTTTACAGATTGTTAGCTGGAACTGGGCAGAAATGGCTCGCAACTTTAATCCCAGAATTTGGGAGGCAGAGGCAGGTGGATATCTCTGAGTTTGAGGCCAGCCTGGTCTATAAAGTGAGTTCCAAGATGGCCAGGGCTACACAGAGAAACCCTGTCTTGCAAAATCTTGCAAAAAAAAAGGGAGGGAGCCAGGCGGTGGTGGCGCACGCCTTTAATCCCAGCACTTGGGAGGCAGAGGCAGGCGGATCTCTGTGAGTTTGAGACCAGCCTGGTCTACAAGAGCTATTTCCAGGACAGGCTCCAAAACCACAGAGAAACCCTGTCTCGGAAAAAAAAAGGGGGGGGGAGGGGTGTTTAGCCAGCAGGGGGAGGTTAGCCAGGAGGTGGTGGTACCTGCCTTTTAATCCCAGCACTCAGGGACTTTAGAACAGCCAGGGTTGCACAAAGAAACCCTCTCTCAAATAAATAAATAATAAACAAATATAAAAACAGTTTAACAAGCAAATACCTAAATAAAAGCTTAAATTTTCAAGCCTGAGACTCCCAAGTCCAAATCCAATCCGGCCATCTACTCTTCAAACGAGGCTTCTGCTATCCAAGTCCCAACCCCCCAAACCTGATTAGCTTCCAAGACCAGATATTAGGTGAATTCTGGGCAGTTTGGCCAGAGGCAAAACCACTGAGCCTGTTTCCTTTCCTGTTCTGTGTCCCCTGTCTAGCCAGGTATCTGTAAAGCTTGGCTCCACTGATCAAGTAAAGTCCTGCTGTGGCAGCTGATACGATTTAGTGCCATGTAGGTAGGCCTGTGTCCTCAGTATGAAAATATAACCCTGGCTGTCCTCAACACACTCGCAGGAAATCCCCTCTGCACCGGTGGTGGTGGCAGTGGTGGTGGTGAGGCACACCTTTAATCCTAGCACTCCAGAGGCAGAGGCAAGAAGATCTCTGTGAGTGAGTTAGAGGCCAGCCTGGTCTACAAAACAAAAAAAGGGGGGGGGAGGAAGGAAGGAAGGAAGGAAGGAAGGAACAAAGGAATGTAGGAAGGAAGGAAGGAAGGAAGGAAGGAAGGAGGGAAGGAAGGAGGGAGGGAGGGAAGGAATAAAGGAAAGAAGGAAGGAATAAAGGAAGGAAGGAAGGAATAAAGGAACGTAGGAAGGAAAGAAGGAAGGAATAAAGGAAGGAAGGAAGGAATAAAGGAACGTAGGAAGGAAGGAAGGAAGGAAGGAAGGAAGGAAGGAAAAGAAACCCTTGTTTCATCCAGGATGCCCTCTAGACTGGTCCCAAAAGGATACATCCATCACAGCCACCATGCTTCGACAAGTGTCAATGCCAAAACCATCAGTTTTCAGATCCGGGTCTGAGGGGTGACAGGGTGAAGGTGAGAGGTCAGAGATCACAGTCATCCCAGTCCATCTAACCTCTAACGCTTCCCCATGCCCTGACCCTGGTCACTCACGTCGGGTCACCACCTTGTTGAGGATATTCATGAGTTCCGTGGCGCTGACCTCCATATCCTGAGAGCAGAAGGTAAAGACAGTTCAGGAAGATGGAAAGGGCTGCATCTCATAAAAGACCACGAGGACTTCTGGGCTGTCAGGTCAAGGAGGGCCAGCGGCCCAGGATACTTACATCTCCAGCCAGCTGGACAAAGAGTTTCCGAAACTGCCGGACCTCCTCACTCTCATTGGCCTCAGTATTAGAGAAATGGCTACGTGGGGGCTGCAGAGAGAGGAGGTCTCAGAACAGATATGGAGAAGCACGTCTCTCTCCTCACACCCAAATATCCCAGGGAAAACTCAGAGAGAGCTGGGGAGTTTGAGGGTCAGGGAACCTGAACTGAGTGTAGCTTGTAGCATGACTGAGTCCCAGGGCTTCAGAAAGGACATTCTGAATGGCAGAGGAACTTCCTAAGAAAGGAAGGGGAGCCTTCTCTATAGAAATGGCGGTGATGACGATGCAGACAAGCCTGGGGAGGGGAGGTCTCTAGGGCTTAAGGTGGCTTACCGGGGGCTCGGGGTTGTACTGCGCAGCAGCCTCGCTGAGGAGAGACAAGAGGGAGTTAGCGCATGGGGGCGGAGCCTCCAACGGGCGCAGAACGGTTAGTTCAACCCCTCAAAGTTCAGCCCCCCTCTTCCTCAAGTGGTCCCTCCCCCTCTGTATGTCCCGGTCATCACCTGTCCCAATTTTCAGAAGAGGGCTGCCCCTTCTTTTCCTCCATCAGGCCAACCCCTCCCATGGGCCCACCCCCACGGAAGAATCCTTACCTAGCCGAGGAACACCCACCAATCGTAAATGTTAGAATCACCTTGGCCCCAATCAGTATCACTGAAATCCCACCACTCAGCAGGACCCGCCCCCTTGAAGAACTCACTTCATAGGGCGTCTGCGCCAGCTGCCCTCGGCCCCATCTTCTTCAGGTCTCTGTCTAGAACCTTACTCCATTGCGCCTCTTCCCACTTATCCAACTTCCTAACATCCCACCCCAGTTCCATCAGTCCCCACTCCTCCGAGGGATCGCTGCTGGGTGACCAAGGATAATCAGGTGCAAACCACAAGCTCTAACCCCATCAAGGATTTTTTACCCACTAAACCAGCCAGTTCCTGATCCTCGCTGGACAGTTTCTTCTTAGTAGGCGCTGGTCTTTCCTGGGCCCACCCGCCCAACAACAGCAGGCCACACCCATGTCAAGTCTGGTGCCGCGCTGTGCTCTCAGATTCACTGGCTCCGCCCCCCAGTGATGGATCCAGTCCTACGGAGCCTTCCCCAAACCCACTGACAGTTCCCTCAGAAACTGCAACCAACTCGTTGACCCGCAGGAGCAGATTTACACCCACGTCAAGCCCATCCCTAAGAAGCGACACCATCCTCATTAGGGTTCCCCTAGGGCCGGCTTTCTGATCTAGGCCACCCCAGTCCTAGACTCCACGTGAGTCCCTTAGTTCTTGGGCCACCCCGCCCCTCCAGGTGGTCTTACCTGATGGCGCTAATGACTCCGCCCAGGATGCGCATGGCAGTTCCACCGCCTCCACCACCTCCTCCCATGCCCATGCCCATGCCGCCGCCACCGCCGCCGCCGCCCGCAGCTCCGCTGATGAGGCCTCCGAGCACATTCCCCAGGCCGCCGCCCAGACCCCCGCCTCCCCCGCCGCCACCGCCGCCCTTCAAGAACGAATTAACCAGGAACATGACTGCAACCGAGTCCTGTAGAGAAAAGTGAGTCAGGTAGTCGCCTCGCTGGGGAGCTTCCCGAAAGGAAAAAGCAAGAAAAGAAAGCATTATTTCCGGCAGCTAGACTGGGGAGGCCTCAGGAAAGGGGCGGAGCCTCAGACTAGGGGTCTGGACTGGTGACAGCGGGTGGTCCTAGGATGGGTGCGGTGGGACCGGTCAGGTCAGACACCTAGGGTCTAGAAGGCTCCCGGGCCGAGGCTCGACGGCATGCCGGACATCGTGAGGAATAGGGGTACAATCCCCTAGGGCGTGGTGGCGCACAATCGTGAATACAGAATTTGGAAACTGAGGCTGGAGGATCAGTTCGAGACCAGCCTCAGCTACAGGGCCAGCCTGGACTACGCGGACCCCTGTCTCGGGGCAGCGGAAAACAGGACTACGGGTCTGGTGGGGATGCTCCACATAGAGACCCCAATTTGTGTAAGGTGTACCGGACGTGACTCAGATCGAGCTTAGGGTGGGGATGACGGGCGGGTAGGGGGTGCAGCCTGGGCCCTCAGGACTGAGTTCAGGAAGTCCCTAAAGAGGATTGGGACAGTTAGGTACTCCCGACAGAGGGATTACAATGGCACTACTGGATCTGTGGGCTCCGGCCTAAAATTATGGCTGTGTGCCCCGAGGATCCTGGATAACGGAGTTCCTCCCACTGCAATGGGGATCAGACTCTCGGATCGTGGTTCTAGACGCCCCAAATAATTTATGGGGTGCCCCTCAGATCTTTGGACTTATATTTTTGATCGTGAGACCCGGGATGGCCAGGAGTGCTCCGGAGGGGGTGACCAGAGTGTGACAGGCCCGGTTGTTCAGACCCCAAGGGCCGCGACTTTAGGGTTTCGCCAGGTCTGAAGACTGCCGAACCCGGGTCTACGGGGTGCAGGGGTGCTGGGCCGGCGCGCCCGCTCTCACTTACGGTTCCGGCGGTCCCGGGTCGCTCCCTCCTGCTCTGGGGCCTCCCGCTGTGTCCGGCTCGGGAGGGCGGGGCCGGTGACTCAGGCGGCTCCTCCGGGCTGGGGCCCGCGCACCACCCTGCAGCCGTCCGCGGGGCCCTAGAGCCGCCAGTGCAGCTGCACCTGCGCCTGCGCGGGAGGGCCCCGCCCCACGTAGTGGGTTCAGGGTGTGTGCCTCTGCCAAGCTAATCCGCCCCCTTACACACGCTGCCAGAAATTCAACGCCCTCCAAATTTAACAGCTCTGAGTACTAACAAACCATTCTAACACCGAGGGACTGGAACGTCCAGGGAACTAGAATTTTGATCAAGGTCGCCCACAGGCCACCCACCGTTGCTCCAAAAGGGACTGCATTCATTCATTCTTTCATTCATTCTGCTTTGAGACAGGTTTGTTATACATCCCAAGCTGAACTTGAACCCACCCTAACGCCCTAGTTGACCTCGAACTCGAAGCAATCCTCCTGCCTCTGCTTCCCAAATGCCAGGATTACAGATATTCACTACCATAAACAACTATCAGTTTGTGTTCTCCAATTTAGGTTCCTGGCTTCTAGGCAGTCTAGCTGTCTGAGCCTGGACCACTCCCGGGGGACTGTGTAAACCTCAGTTGGAGTCTGCTCATCCCTAAAGCAGTGACCTGATGTCTGTGAGCCATGATTTCCTCATCTGTAAAATGGGAGCACATCCAGGGATGATGACACATACCTGAACACCAGCACTTGGGAGGTGGGGGCAGGAGGACAGTCTCAGTACATAACAAGTTTGGCCTACATGAGACCCTGCTCCAAAGGGGAGGAAGTTAGCTGGGCGGTGGTGGCGCACGCTTTTAATCCCAGCACTTGGGAGGCAGAGGTTGGTGGATCTCTGAGTTCGAGGTCAGCCTGGTCTACAAAGTGAGTTCCAGGACAGCCAAGGCTACACAGAGAAACTGTCTCAAAGGGGGGGGGGGGGGTTAGGCATAGGTTCCCTCTGGGTAGGCCCTATCAAAATTAAGTGATTAAATACATAGTGAATGCCAGCTCTTATGTTCGTCCCTCTGCTGCCCTACTGTTCTCTCAGCTTGCAGCCCACCTGGATCTCTTAGTTTACTCTGGCTCATCCTTACATAACAGGGAATGCTAACTGCCAGTTCCTAAGTACTTTGCACACGTCAGCTTGTGTGTTCTCATGGCAGCCCTGCGGGATAGATGCTGTTCATTATCCCCATTCCACATATAAGTAAACTGAGGTTAAGCTGCACAGTCTACCTTACCTGTTCCTTTCGCTGCCACCGTTACTCAGACACTCTCCAATAATTTAATTAATATGATAATCACTCAAATCTCAAGATCACAGCAGACAAAACTGTACTTGTACCTGACGTCACCTAAGGGCTTGCTGGGACCAAGCCAGGCAATGGCTGCTCAAGCCTGTTTGTGGGAGGCAAGCTCTAACTGAGCGAAACGGAAGGTGATGACCCGGGCCTACACCTAGGCCAATAAGTCATTCGGTGGTGACTCATGTGGATTCCTTTGCTGCCACACCCCTTGCCACACGGTTCTCCGTCCTGACCTCAGGCTCTGCTCCCTGGCAGACCTTTGCACAAACCCTGCCCTCTACCTACAGACACTCCTGTTTGCCTGTGCCCTCCACCTTGGATGGGAGCTCGGGGTCTCTCATTTGGGAAGTCCTCGTTGTCCTCACACCCATCCAGGACTTGGTGAGGCCATGGCTCCATGCTCTCAGAACCCCTGTAGTAGACACGCTGACACAGGCCTAGAATCCTCGGGCTAGGAAGTCTGAGGCCCGTGAGCTACACCATAGGACCCCATCTCAAAACAACAATTTAAAAAATGCTTTTAGGCCAGGCAGTGATGGCCCACACCTTTAATCCCAGTACTTGAGAGGCAGGGGAGGTAGATCTCCGTAAGTTCGAGGCCAGCCTGGCCTACAGAGCGTGTTCCAGGACAGCCAGGGATACACAGAGAAGTCCTGTCTTGAAAAGCCAAATAATGTGGCATGAGCTGGCTATGCCACTTTCTTGAGATTCGTTATTGTTTCTGTTATTCTTTTGGTCCCTGCCCTAGCCACGCCCACTCCTTTTTAACCTCTGCCCTCCGCTGGCCGGCCATTGCTCTCTCTTCCTGTTTCCTCCCCCGGGGTACACACGGGGCTCTGCCTCTCTCCTCCTCTCTCCCTTCTTCTCTTTCTCCTCTCTCTCTCTCTCTCTCTCTCTCTCTCCCTCCCCCTTTTTAATAAACATTTATGGCTATTTTCTGTGTTTATATGTGTGACCCGCCGCGTGCGTGCCCTCCTGCTGGTGAGAAGCTGTAACCGCTTGCTCAGGTGCTGGACCCTAGAGCTGGCGCCCGGCACTGCTGGGACCCATCGGAGTTTGCTGCGGGGCGGGGGGACCCCATGGATATTTTTTAAGAATAAGAGTTTCAGCCTTCGACCATTTTGCATCTGTTCATAGCATTTCTGCAGAGGGACTAGCAGTCTCAAACATTTCTTAGTAATTACAACAAAATGCTCTGAACTACTCTAAAAATGTATTTATAGAAACACAAAGTTATCTTTGATATGTTTACTGTTAAAGAGATCTTTTAAAAAAAGAAAAACCAAATAAATAAAATAGGGCTGGAGTGATGGCTCTAAGAGCATTGCCTGCTCTTCCAAAGGTCCTGAGTTCAATTCCCAGCAACCACATGGTGGCTACAACCATCTGCAATAAGGTCTGGTGCCCTCTTCTGGCCTTCGGCATACACACAGACAGAATATTGTATACATAATAAATAATAAATAAATATTTATAAATAAATAAATAAAATAAAAAACAAACCACTTTTTTATTATTTTCATAGTACCCACTACCCAAAGTGATCGGTCTTGTCCTCTCCCTCTCTTCCTAACTTCTAACCCTAACCTCTGACCCTGTCTCAATTCCCAGCATCGGTGAGCCTTAGGTCTTGTCCCTCCTGTTGAGCCTACTGTGCCATTCGGTACTTCCCTGAGGTAATTTTTAATGACTTTTTTTCCTGTGTGTACATGTTGTGAGGTAGTCTCCTACAGCCCAGGTTTGGGGTCTCCTATAGCCCAGGCTGAGTGGTCTCCTATAGCCCAGCCTGGGGTCTCCTATAGCCCAGCCTGGGGTCTCCTTATAGCCCAGGTGGCCTCAAACTGACTGTGTAACAGAGAATGCCTTGGACTGATCTTCCAGCCTCCACAACCCCAGCCCTGGGGCTGCCGGTGTGTCTGCTCCTGTTTGTCTTTCCTTCCATCTCCAGATCCCTATCAACCTGGGCAAGGCGGGGACTCAAGGCTCCTTCTTCCTGCTTCCTATTTATGGTCTCCTTAGGGATGGGGGCAGAGTTCCTAAGGCACCAACTGTTTCCTTCCTGAGCCTCTGCCGGCACCAACTCCTATTTTGTTTGTTTTCTTTAGTTTCTTAGATTTGAAGTTTTTATTTCATGTTTGTGCACGTATGTCTGCCTACCAAGTGTGCTCCGGTATTCAAACCTGAGCCGTCTGCAAGAGCAGCAAGTGCTCTTGACCTCTGAGCCGCCTCTCCAACCTCTTGTTGATGGCTGGATGTTTGTTTCTGAGACAAGGTCTCCTAGTGCTCTGATTATGCTCCACCATCTCCAACTAACTCTCTTGTCTCTGTTTGCCCCACTGCTCCAACCTGTCAGTCAATCTAAGGGCTCCCTCTGCAGACCCTCAGTGCTGCCCCCCACCCCACAGCCTTAATCCCTGCCCTCCTCGGGCCATCTCAACAACCTCAGTCACCTGCAAACAAAGGAAGCCTGTGCACATGGCTCCGGTCCCTCTGACTCAGATTCTGTTCCGGCTATACCTCATTCCAGAAGCATCAAAATTCTCTCCCCAGGGAGGACAGCTCGGTGGTAGAGTGCATGCCCAGCCTGCATGAAGCACCAGTTTGTTTTTTTTTTTTCTTTACTCAAAGCCACAAAGTCCTTACTGATCCATCCTGTCACCTCCTGACCCTTTGAGACAGTACAGGGAAGCCAGGCTTGGTGGCCCTTGCCTTCATTCCCTGCACATGGGAGGAGTGCACGGACAGAGTTCCAGGACCTGGTGTTCCCAGCTGAAACCCTGAGAACAAAACATGGAGGCTCTGCTTGTGTACGGTGTCCGAACAGCCCCTTTCCTGCACAGGCGATACCGGAATTCTACGACCCAGGCCTCTCCTGGCCCTCCCTTAGAGTCGCCTCACGGTGTGGTTTTAGCGGGCTCTTCTCAGGTCTCCTATTAACCTCTATCACACACCACTTTTTTTTTTCTTTTATGATTCAATCTCATTATTATATAGCCCTGGCTGGCCTGGAACTCATGCTGTAGACCAGACTGGACTTGAACTCACAGAGATTCTCCTGCCTCTGGCTCCTGAATGCTGGGATTAAAGACCTGCACTCCACCACATTTCCCAGCCCATTTTTAGCATACATGCCCCACTAATACACTGTATAGTTATTGGCCAATACCGCTTCTTGTCTGTCGCCGGCACTAAAATGTGAGTTCTCTGAAGACAGCACTTTTTAGCTTGTTCACAGCCGGGTATCTAGTTCCTAGAACAGCGTTTCCTTACCATGAAGGGGTTAAACTCTCCTACTCTTTACAACTGAATTTAAGTTGCAGCTCTCTGAGAAGGGCAAAACAGGTGTCTTTTTTAACAAAGGGCCATTTATCTACAAGGCTCTTACATTCAGGGTTGAGGGAGGGAGAAAACACAGAGGGCCTAAGTCAGTCTCAGTATCTCAAGGACAAACTCAGCAGGCTCCTTTCTGAGTCACATCCAAGCTTGTACAGTGTATCCAAAATGATAAGACTAAACCTCAGCCAATTAAAAAGATACTAATGTAACAGTGATGTAGCTGACCCTGAAGCTCCTCTTAGCTACACTTAATCTATTTGTCCCTCTGGGGTAGTCACCATTTTGTACAGGCGACGACCCCTGCATGCTGGAATACTAAACGCTCTTTGCTCTTGCATACTATTTGAGTCTGGGGTCTTCCTTTAGCATTTTCTCGGCCCCCACAAGCAGTGTTGGGCACCGACTCTAGGTTCTCCGGGCTGGGAGTCAAGTGCTCT